AGAGCTGTCAGACGACCAATGAAACGTGAGCTGATAGACGTTCTGGCCACCAAAATTGTGGCGCTTTGAGCAGCGTGTAGTGAGTCCACCTCTAATGTGTTCTGATAATATTCTAGATTAAATCACTGTGCCACTGAGAGGTAATCTTAAAGCTGTACCCATTAGAACACGTGAAAGTATGTCGTCTGTTGTTCGTTCAGTGGTTGTGGAACGAATGTTTTTAGGATGGATCGTCACTCACCGCGAAATCTTGCGCATGCGCGTATATCGAATTCCTAGCAGGGCTTTTCTCCTGGTCTGTGGACTGTACCTGATGATGAAGGAAGCAAGGACCTCTGAAACGTCGGTAAATTTCTACCATACTACACGGAACTATAACCCAGAAGACTATCTTCGAACGTGGGGCTTGCTTGCTTGTGTACGCTATTAAGGATTTTATCTTTTATTTATCTCTGTTTTTTTGCAAATATTGGCACTGAATGACAACGCACGTGGTAGCTGGGTCTAGTTGTCGCGTAGGAAATCAACCAATGGTGCACGGCACGTGTTGGAGGCAGCTTGAACACGAATTCCATCGCGCAACCCGCGCAATGGAATTCGCTAAACGAACGTCGCGGAACTCGTCCAGGTCGTCGTCTGAGGCACCGCGACATTTTGAGAGGCGACTTCACCGCATTCTGGCGCACAGACGAGGAAGCTACGATGTCGCGTGAAGAATTTGGGTGCAAATGCGGGTGACATAAGAATCTAATGAATTAATACGAGAATCAATAACATCGACAAAGGAATGACCTCACCCATCTCTTCTTCTCCGTCGGATTGCAGTAAGTAGTGAGCAGCCAGCCAGTCGGTCGGCGATTCTATTTTGTTTTGTAATTCCTGTAAGAACGTCACGATGTGGTTGCACGACCCACAGATGTGTGTATGTAGGCAATGAATGCATGTTCCAACAGGTGATCCCGGCTCAGAATCCATGTTACACGGTGCTCAGCATGAAGGTTAAACCACGCTTTGATCTACAGACCCGTGGAACTTAAGATAAAAATAAATCCTACTTCGTTTCTCACAACTGTCCAGCCTCAAGTTGAAGTTCATGTGGCAGGTGTCCCTCGGGACTTCACGGATTCAAAACCGAACAATTTCGCAAACTCTTCACCGTTCAGCTTCAGGCCTTATATTGTGTATTGGCAAAATATTTGTGAATTATTTGGATATTCCGGCCGGAGCTTCCGCTCATGGTAGGGTCACCCAAGCCGGACAGGTCTAAGGCGATGCGCTAGAATAAGAGTGATACCCTGGTCCTCCAGGTTGGGGGTTGGGCGTAAGGTTAACAACCTTTCACCTTTAAAAAAATTATTGTTAAGAAAAAATTAACTAAGCCTCGGACGATGGCATTTGTTGGCCCAGGACAGGGTCTGGTGGAGGGCTTTGGTTAATTCGGGGATGAACCTTCGGGTTCCCTAAGCCATCTGGTTGGTTGGGTCCACTATTTGGGAAACCTGAAGGGAAGAGACCGCTGAGGAGACCTAGACGTAGATGGGAGGATAATCTCAGGCGGGATCTATGGGAGATAGGAGTAGAAGGAGACTGGATTTTGTTGGCCCAGGACAGGGTCCGGTGGAGGGCTTTGGTTAATTCGGGGATGAACCTTCGGGTTCCCTAAGCCATCTGGTTGGTTGGGTCCACTATTTGGGAAACCTGAAGGGAAGAGACCGCTGAGGAGACCTAGACGTAGATGGGAGGATAATCTCAGGCGGGATCTATGGGAGATAGGAGTAGAAGGAGACTGGATTTTGTTGGCCCAGGACAGGGTCCGGTGGAGGGCTTTGGTTAATTCGGGGATGAACCTTCGGGTTCGGTAAGCCATCTAGTTAGTTAGTTAGTTGGCTCCTCTGCACACAACTCACCCGGATAACACAGAACAGACGTGAATTTGTGTGAAACTGGGTTTTCTTTTTGGTAACTTCCTCATTTGTTTTGAGAGGGCTGGATAAACCTACGACTTTGTTCTGTTTTGTCGTAATTTCAAAATTTTGAAACCTGTGAGAGGAATTGAAGGACTTTTGTTTTTGTGCGAATTCCTTTTTTTAAAAAAAGAAAAAAAGCTTGCTGAGACATCGGCGACTTGGAACCTCCCACCCTGAGGACCACTTTCTGTGCAAGGACCTCTGTCCTCCACAGAGCGAAGGAGGAGTTTTCCCACACTCGGACTGTTGCGACAAGGACGCCTCCACGCGGCGGGAGAGTGAACGAGCTGGCACGTGCACGATCAGGCTTGTCACGAGTTAACTCGCTCTCTCTCTCCCTTCGACTCTATCCTTGTCTCTGTTCTCCTCTTTCCTTCGCCGCGGGCCAAAAGAAGTTGATGGAACGTGGCGGCAGAGAACAGAGATTCCAGTAGTTAGACGGGCGGGGGGATAGCGGGGAAGGACGACGTCTTTGGAATATGAGCGAGGAACCGCGGAAGAAGTGGAGTGGACATCACACGGACTCCTGGAACAAGAACTGGGACAATGAGGTTCGTGACTTGCATTATTCACATCAAGGATTGGATGGACGGGACACGTAGCACGCATGGAGGAGATAGGGAGAAAGGCGAAAGAAAATGCATAATAGGCAACGGCGTTTTTTTACAAATGCCATTGTTTCTGGGGATATTTCTCTTAACGTTTAACGCAAAAAAGATTTTATTGCAACATCCGAAGTCTTTTTGATCGCCGGGTTACATAAAGACACGGAATTAGTAACATGATCGCTTGAAACATGAGGCCTGATGCATTTTGAGTGATTATAAATATTTACGACGAATTACGGATTCTGACTCAAATGCTATATCACCATTCATCGTAATCATCAACGCCTACGGATTTCGATCTTACCGCTGAAATTATGAACCAGTTTCGACATTTGGCACGACTTATTGTGTGTGTAGGATCAGCACTGTATTTTATTACGTTTGAATCCCACTCAAGCCATGGATGTTTTTCTGTGTTGTTCTGTCCTGCGACGGTCCGATCCCTCATCCAAGGAGTCCTACCGAATGTCTATAGATCAAGCCAACGAAAAAGTTGGGACCCTCAGATGCTCAAGGCACTTGAAGAACGGGTCGTTCGCAGTACCCAAAACGAAAAACCGCTTGAGAAAATGAACTATTAATATAAAACTTACGTCATTTAACCTGCACGAGGACTAGATAATTTTTTAAAGTTTTCTGAGGGTCAGAATTTTAACTGATTTGTCTAACTTATCCTGAGATTTTGTGGATGTAATTTTGCGAATCCTGTCCTTTTGTATTTTGTCTATGTATTACTTCAAGTGTAGTTGCTATTTATTTAGTCGTTAACCTTGTTTGTTACTTTTAAATTCGGAAGAACCTGCTACCTCTGTCTTCAGGGATCACCTATGAATCTACACACTGTCATCACAATATAGACAGTGTTTGCGACTTTCATCATGTTTATAGTTCATCGTTGTGTAATCTGACCGCAAGGATTCTCCGTGTACCGATTTAAAAACATCTCAAGTGTTCAATTCTGTTATTGCCTTGACATTCGTTCTGGTAACCGATGTAGAAATGTGAAGTCACAAAATTATTCCGTGGTCTGGCCACTCCACAACCTCCATGGCTGTGTAGCCGAAGATTGCCTCGCTCCTTGTTGAAACGTCCGTACAAACGGGTGTACCAGAGTGAGCGAGCGAGAGAAGTAGCCAATAGGAAGCAAGGTGGCGCATGCCGTGACAGAACGTGTCCTGATTGGCTAAAAAAGAATTCTTCAAGAGTGGAGGACCCCTTTTGGCATGGGAATGTTCTTCGTTCACATTTTCTCACGATTCGAGCCGACGTTGGGTCTCTGCTCCAGGAATTTAGGGAACTTAAAAATTGAGACCGCTCCCCTGTCTGAAAATAAGTCCAAAAAAAAGAGGGGGTCACTGCTTTGTGGTTTCTTTTCTGTGTATTCTGTGCCATATGTGAGGTTCCTGGCTGGAATTTTGACTCAGGCTGTACCAATGACTGGCGTGCTTTCGTTAAAGACATATATTTAAATGGACGCCAAAATTACCAATAATAATAATAAGAATTCATGGAGGGAAAACTATTTTCTTCAAACGTTGAAGAGTACAACAAATTTAAATAACCGTTGACAATAAATATGCAAAATTAATTGAAACAAATAATACCATAAATCTTAAAACCTTGTATTGGAATTATAAAATATTCATACAAACAAAACTGTTTACACTAACGCAACTAAAAATCTTTTGATTTATATTATATTATTTAACTTGTTATTTTTTTTGCCACTGATGATGACCTCTCGAGGTCGAAACGCGTTTGGCATTAGTGTCCTTTCATAGTGTAAACAGTTTTGTTTGTACGCATATTTCATAATTCCATAAATGATCTCATGTCATTAGAGCAGTTTTAATACATAACTAAATGTCATCTCCCCGTTTACATTAGCTGATGTTGTCTTTTGTTTCTGTATGTTCATAACCGTGTTAATAAAATTTACCCTAGCTCAGAATCACAGTTCAATATTCGTGTCTACTTTGGGCCGAATGCAAGAATAAAAACGTTTGGGATGAATTTACGCAGTTCAGGTCCCGCTTTTGTGTCAACGGCACTGAACGTTCGGTCTGTACCACAAGGGACTAGCGGCAGGAACGTATATAATCGGTGACATCAGTAATTTGGAGTGGCGATCAGCTGATGGTCCTTACCTCATGGAGGAAATTATTTTACGATGATTTCATACGGAAATTTTTGCGTCGAAAGGCACCCATGTCATTTGTGAATAAAAGTTAAAGGAAATAGAAGTTAACACAGTTATTTTTTAGTAGGAAGATCTTTGTTTGTGCTCCTGCGAGATTTGGGGTACATGTTCCAACCAGTTCTGTGTTTTCCTCAGTGCGTCATACCATGCGCATTGATCCCATCTTGCCGGAAAGGAGCGGCGCGGGGAGAGGGGAGAATCACGTGGTGGGGAGTGAGCTGGCACGTCTGGTGGGTCGCATTGCCACATTTCTCCGGCAGTGGGACCAGTCGCTTCCTGTCCGCGATCGAGGCACGTTCTGTGTTGAGTTGGGAGTTCACTTTACCGAGCTTGTGAGTGTCCAGTGCCCCCAGTGCTGTTGTATGTTGTGAACAAGACGTGTTCTTGTTGTGTTGTGAACATGGTTACGGGTGGTGGTACAGTATCACCCGCGGGGGTGGCAGGTCCCGGCGTTATTGCTGGCAGTGTTACCGGCTGCATGTCCACGTCCACTCCGACACCCGGGGCAGACACCGCCGGCCTTCCTCCGCAGAGACGCACTAGCGAGAACAGAAGGGTGAGTTTATTTACCCGAGGTATTTCTGTGAGAATGTGGCACGGGTCATGTTTTCAACACATTCGTCGAGAACATTTTATATATATCGCGTTTATTTGCAAGTATTTCAATAATAAATGTGAAGGGGACACGTGAATTGGAACTTGTTTTCCCCTGTGTTCTATCAGCAACAATGTGTAAGATTAATTTTTCCCAGTTATGGACTAATCCATTTTCCTTCTTTCATTTCAGTGTAAATTCTGTTGAAAATCACGACCTGCGCTAACAATTGAAGTATATACAGCGTTGTATGTTTATTTCATTGGTCCAAAACACGGAAAAACAAAACACGATCTACGGCCGAAAGGCATTAGAGCGATATTTTTAGTGTTCGTGTGTGTTGGATAAGGTTAAAGGCTTTCGGAGCGTGGCCCTCAGAGATCACTGCCTCGCGCCTTGACATGGTTCTTATGCACGATAAGTCTGGTGCGGACCTTTGTTTTGAGGTCTTCCAAGCCACGGACAGCGACACACGTGACCTTTCCAGTCGGAACTTGAACTGTTAAAAATGACATGACCTTGCTTTTAAAACAACACAGCCCTAGTATGACGGGGTTCATCAATGAAGTAGGATCTCAGGTTCTCAAGGCGATGAGTTCGAACATGGCTGTCTTCCGGTTCGTAGCGCCATGTAGTCTGATCGAAGTTTACCGACGTTTCAGAGGCCCTTTATGCCTCTATCATCAGGGCGGTGATCGCCATGATGATGGCAGAAGCGACGATGTTCTTACATAAGTATTTCTTCGGGCGTGAAATTTACAATATTCGATTTTCCCAATGGGACCCGCGGTTAAGGTCCTTTTTATTTTAAAATAACAATGTACGCAGGTTTACGTGTTCACTTATAAATTAACCGATTTCCACGTGTGGCATTAGGAACCGCAAAGAACTTTGAGTCCGGGAGGGGGGGGTGTTCTGTGGGCCGTGACAATTGTTGGCCTCACGTAGGAGGCAGTGGTTTTGCGGGGTCATTCGTGCGAAGCAGTGTTTCTCAACCGGCGATCCGCGACAAATTTTTTTACAGGTGTGTGAGAAACTTTTACTACCAAATATCTTTACTTTTTTCAATTTTTTTTTTTTGGAGAAAGTTTATTCCATGATAAATTATAATAATTTAAAAAGAACTCACAGTGTCTAAGACTATCCTATTATTGTGCATAAAATGCTGTCTACTTACTTAATCTTAATATGCGTTAAAGCTAGAAGTGTTTTTCAGAGCGCGCTGTGTATCGGCTAAAAGGTTTGTGGCGCCGGAAAAATCAGATAAAAAATCCTACGAAGCAGGCGAATGCCCGGCTTCCGACCGGCCTCTCGATCGGCTTGCAGCGCAGGCGCAGAGACTGCCACGGGCCGAGCAGGCGGACGTGTTGTGAGTCCGTGGCACGGGCTGGCGACCTGAGGCAGACCGCGCGTCACGTACGCGCACCGAGTATCCGGCTGACTTATCGCGCGGAAAACCACCGCTGCGCTCCTTGCCCTGGTTTCAGTATCCGGGTCTCGCTGTGCTTTTTTCTTTTATGCTGATCGTCGTTTGTCGTCTTTTCCTACTATATTACTTGTTCGGAGGTTGTATTTCCAATTCACACGTTGGACTGAATAGTGACGTGTCTCTTTCCTCGTATGGACTGCATTTAAATGCAGTGTATGGGGGGGGGGGTCTTTACGGACCAAAGCAGGGTCACAAACCCTTTTGGGCGAGGGCAACTAGGAAGATTACGTATCGCACTAAGATAACATTGATGTATTACGTGAATATTCCAAAAATTTTTAATCCTTCCTAAAATGTAAGTAAGTATTAAGCATTGGTCGGAGTACCTCTGAGCTACCCTACGTAGAAGTTCTCGAGGGCACACCGTTGCCCCCCCCCCTTCACGTTTTCGAACTAAAATTTTACAATTTCTTGATATTTATTTATTCTTCAACAACACTTTAAGTTTTTAGATTACATGACGATGAATGAACAGGTTGATTTATGTGTATTGAATTGTGAAGGATGTGGAATGAAGCCGTTGTAGCCTTATTCAAGGAAAAAAAACCTTAGTATCCCTGCGTCTTCCTGGCGGGACTGAGGAAAACAGCGAAACCCTTTTGCCATTCTCCAGGCCGAGACTGGATCGCGGGGCAATTCGAATGCGAGGCAGGTACGCTAACCATCCGACCGCAGCTTTTGGCCCAGGTATCAATCAGATCACGTTTCATAGCCACATCCTCCCCAAAGACTAGCTTTCGTATTCCAAAGTTCGCGCGGTGTAATAGTATTCGTCAACACACAGTGAACTAAAATACGTGTTCCTGGATTCATTCGGTGTTCGGGCTGCCGATGCGGAAATGGAATGGGTTCTTCCATTTCGTGGATTTCCTCTCGGTGCAGTGGAATCCTGCCGAGAGACGTTTCCGCCAGGGTCCGCGGTCGGGCGATCGGATACGAATGAAGACGTGTAAGTGGGTTATTCCATAAGGAACAAGTGCGCATTCAGGCTTGGACCCAACTGTCGCGTTGTAGCATTTAATTTTTTTTTGGGGGGGGTGCTTATTTCAAGACGTTTCGTGAAATGATCAGACAGGATTTCGATATCTGTGGTCCATCTTTGAGTCTGATTTAAATTTTTATAGAATATTATGATTATTAAAATTGTTTGAAGTGAGGTTACGTAAGAATAAGATACCGATGAAAACATTTGTACCCAAGAGGAATTAAACGACGGGACATTGATGAGAATTTCTTCATAGTTCGTACTCTTCACCAGATATCATTAGGATGATCAGATCAAGGAGGATGGGATGGGCGAGGCGTGTAGCACGTAGTCACAAGCGCATTTTGAGGTAACCCTGAAAGGAAGAGAACTCGGAAGTGTGAAGTGCAGATTGGAGGATGATATTAAATTGGATCTGTCGGTCGTGGTTTGATTTGTGGCGGCGCCACCGACATCTGGGTCCACCCAGCCTCCTATCCCATGGGAAGGAAGAGGGAGAGTTCTTTTGTGAGCGTCAATCAAACCACGACGTCCATCTAGTGTCGAGGTCGGAACGTGCGGATGATGGAAGTTTTAATTAATTAATTAAACTCTGTGTTCAAAGTTTAGTGTTTAATTAAGCACAGAGATTTTCAGGTGTGCGTGTTTTGGGATTTTGTCAAGGTGGTATCGATCAGAATTTCTTGACCGTCTGAGCAAGTTTAAAAGTTTCAATGAAGATTGGAGATATCACACGCATTTCTGCCGCGTTAGGAGGATGCTAAAAGTCGCTTTCCCACTTTTTCTGTGGGATTAAATTCCTGCGTAATGTAGTTCTCCCATGACCCAGAGCAAGTGGTGCCGTTCTCAGACAATTAGCCGGATCCGTCGACCGGAACTCCCAACACAATTGCCCCTCTCCCTCTCACATATTTCCTCATGCACTCCCTATTTTAAACAGGTAGTTTAAAGGAAAGGTATTAGACAGATTCTCATTCTTCTATCCTGGGTCTTTAACTCCATTTTCTGTACTTTATTTTGAAGCAAATCACTGTTTACAATTTGTATCTTTGTACCCGGTGACGAATTGAAATTTTGTCGAAACTTTGAGCTCTCAAGTTTGATGGAACAAACCTTAAAATTCGAAATGTGAGCGTTCATGTAAAGGGGAATTCAGTATCCGAGAGAAATTCATCATCGGCAAAGATGGTGGGACTGGATTCATCTGGCTCAGGATAATGGCCGGTGGTAATGAACATTCCGGATACATAAGGGTGGATTTCTTGACTGACTAAGCGACTGTCACGTTTTCACGAAAGCCGCCGTGGCACGGAGCCAGCAAGTAGAAAGCTGAAGTTGAATCAGGCGATGATGGATTCTGTCCTTGATTGTGCCAATGCACTGCCACGCCATCTGTTCCCCCCCTCCTGGCACGTGCCCGACCCAACAAGTGTTCAGTCCAAACAAACAAGAATGTTGCCCCACCTGGTGGTGCCTGTAAGTACGAGCCAAGCTCTGAGCTCACAGATTGAAGTCAACGAAAGTGGTTGGCACGTCTTCCCATTCGGGAAGTTCCGGGTTCGAACATCGGTCACGTACACCGGCTGTCTTACCCGTAGACTTCTTAATCGTTTCCCCTCAGTCCATCCTGGAAATTATGCATCTTAAACTAGGCCACGTCCACTTCGTTCCACGATATTTCCTAAGCTATTTAATCGCCCTGATACCAGACTAAAATATAATCCAGTGTATTTGCGAACAAGCAGTTTAATTCGGACCTGGAATTATGGAACCTGGTTTTGAACTCGGTACCTTTGTCATTCGACTCGTTAGGACGATATTAACGTTTTCTCCCGCGACATTTATCGTTTCATACTCTATTGAACCGACTTCTTCCTGAGAAGCCAACAGTCGGTCTCCCATTCAAGATGTCCCCAACATTTTAAATTCAATTAAGAGCCTTCACTAATCCCTATCCTTAGCCTGATGAATCCAATCCATACCACCGCATCCCATTTCTCTAATATCCATTTTAATATCATCCTCCCACCTGCGTCTAGGTTTTCCTAGTGGTCTTTTTCCTTCTGGTTTATACCCACCAAAATTCTGTACGCACTCCTCTTGTCATGCAGGCTACATCCCTTGTCCATCCCCCCCCCCCCCGCC